AGATGAAAAGCAAATAGATATAGACCCTTTACAAATACCCAGAGAAAACTTGAGCTTTGAAACCATAATGTTGAATTCTGTCCTCCATGTAGGTTATATGCCAACTTTTAAGATGCCTATACAGAATTGACTTTGCTGTTTTTATAAAAACAATAAGCAGTGCATCCAAAATACAAAGAAGAAAGCAAATCACCCTGAATTTTACTGCTGTATAATAATCTGCATTAACATAAAGCGCAGACATCATTCTAAACATGTTTATGCAGGTGAATTAAGAGGAGGGAGAATAAACTTAACAGATTATTTAAATCAAGTTAAATGTACTTGACATTTAAAAGAAGACAAAGCTAATGGAATTATTAAACTTCCAATAAATGTTTCTTTTCCAAGAAAGGTAGTACTTTCTAGTGTCACATTTTCTATAAAGTATTACTAAAAAATAAAGATACTCTTTTCTAAAGTTAGACTTCCTACCCATATGCATTCTTTGGGAGTTAGCCAAAAGTGAGAAAAATTGGCATTTTTAATGTTTAACCTTTCTGTTTCAAAGTTTGCTGGCTTTCTACTTTAATTCCCCAGGTTGTTTTATGTATAGTTTCCTCTTTTTTCAGTTAACACCTGAAATGTTAAGGGGAGATAAAAATAAACTTCTTTAGTCTTGGTCCTAAAAGTCTGAAAAGATTCTTGGGTCAGAGCAACTTCTCAGTATCTTTTGGACTCTTAAGTTTCTTAAAAGAAAACCGAACACTACATTTTTATGTATTCTATTTAGTGTTTCTGGTAGTGACGTGGTAACAAGAGGCTTATTACTGAAAATCTCCAGGGCAAACTTCCATTTCTTCCCTACAAATATCATTAAAATGTACCCTTATCTCAGAAAGCCAGGAAGGTTATTTGATGTTTAATAAGTGCTCTGAGATAATATGCAGTCTTCAAAATAGTTACAAAAATCCCACTAAAAGACCCAGAATTCCCAAATTATTTTTTTAAATGTGTCTCATCAGACTAAAACATGTTTAACATCTCACCTAGCAACATTATCTATTAAATTTTCATGAGCTAAGAATATCTGATATAATAGGTAACATTTATTAAGCATTTACTGTTTTCCAAATACTATACATGTATGAATATACTTAATCCTTATAACTGCCTTTTGAAATATTTGAAATTGATGAGCAAACTATCTCTCATAAAAGCAGGATACAGAGATGTGTGTTTCTATGTACATGTCCAAGACTGGCAAGAAATTGCAAAGTAACAATTACCTTGGTATGGTGGTATGATTATCTTTATTTTTTTTCAACCAACTATGTGAATAAAATCATTGCTGATTCCAGACTCTGTTATGTGACTAAGAATAGGTTTCTATGACTAAATATAGATGTAATTGTTGAAATAAAAGAAAATAGTAGTACGTCTTGAAGTACTGTTTGAACCTGAGTATTCCTTAACATATAATGCTTAATCAGAATTATAGGACATAGTAGTGTAATGGGTCATAACTTCTTTTTTTTTTAAAGTATAGTAAAATATGTTTAACTTAAATTTACCATTTTAACCATTTTTAAGTGTACAGTTCTTTGGCAATAGTACATTCACATTTTTGTGCAGCCATTACCACAGTTCATCTCCAGAACTCTACATTTTGCAACCTGAAAATCTATACCTATTAAACAGTAATTCCCCATCCCCCCTCCCCCCAGCCCCGGGCAACCACCATTCTGCTTTCTGTCTCTGGGAATTTGACCACTCTAGGTACCTCATATAACTGGAATCATGTTATATTTGTGGGCTGTAACTTCTTAAGAGACTATTTTTCTTTTGGCGCAGCTTTCTATAATCACCAAATTATTTGAGATTTTCCTTTGAGCTTTTATTAAGAGATAAAAAACCAGTAGTGGGAAAAACAAAGCTACTATAAAAAGTTCTAAATATTTTATATATCAGTACCATTTCAATAAATGATTCTCTAAAATATTTATGTGTTTTATTTTATAAGCTTTCTTATATGCCATTAAAATTTGTTCTAGTTGCTCCTACTTGGGAGTGTATAGAATTCACCTTTCATTTCATTTTACTTTTTACTACAGGCTAGAAACGTGGCCACCTTTCAGTTAAGAATAATTAGATTTTAATGATCCAAAGATTCCTTAGCCCTTATTTCTAATTGCGAAATAATGTTGCTATTGAAACTTTTGGAGGTGTCTTATGTGGACCACACCCCACACTCTCCAAAAAAGGCAGTTTGTTAACTTTCAAGTGTGAGGGTTTGGGGGGCATTATTAATTTTTCTTAAAAATCAATTCCTTAAGAATTAGAAAATTTCTGAGAATTTAAGCTTCTAAGAATAAACTATTTTTCTAAAATATTACTTTTAGATAATCATTTGTTTTATTGTGTTCCCTTCTATATTGAGCTTTTACAAAAGATTTAACTACAAGGGTGCCCTAAATATAGAAAGCTGGCAGTTGCTCCCAGGATGCAGATGTGAGAACAGTTTCCCCTCTGGGTCCTTATAAAGAGAAACTACGATGGACTGGACAGTGTGTTAACAAACATCCCTGTCGTAAACACAGTAACAGGCGTGTTGATGGTTCCCCTAATGTAAGGACATAACGCAAAGCTAGTTCATTAAAAACAATGTTTTGAAAGGTCAGAGAATGCCCTCTGAGGACCGCAGGCCTTTATGAAAATCCAGCTTGACCCAAGAGTCAAACTTAGATATTGAGAAGGGTCAAAGAATTATCCTTGGGCAATCCTCCATGGATTTATTTCTTATGATTGAGCTTCTGATTAAAACAAGACAGGAGGAAGTTTGAGGTAGACTTCCCTAGCAGCACGTGGAATGTCAGCGGGAAACATCCATATGCTACCTGACAGTCAAGGTTAGGTTGATCGTCTCTGATGCAAATAAACAATCTAATAAGGGCTTGTGCCTAATGAGGTAGCCTCTCCTTTCTAGCCCCCACCTGCTTCTTAACATGGAGTGAGAGACTTGCGCATAGCTTGGAAAGCCCAGATATTTCTGTTCCCCATCATAAAAAGTCCCTGTTATAGGTTCACCACCACTATTTAAATAAGACACACCTCCTCCCCAAATATAGCACAAAATTATACCTGCTCACCTGGAGATAAGGTACTGTTTTTTTTATTACCAAAACAAGATTTAGAAACTTACCAAAGGCCCATTCAGTTGCAGACTTGAAATTTTAGAACTCACGTTTTCTATTTTCTGTTTCAATGTTACGTCCACTTTTTAGACCTTTTTATTGCAGTATAATACACATGCAGAAAAGTGGGCATATCATTAAATGTCTAAGTTCATGAGTGTTTATAAACAAAACCTCCAGATCCAGAAAGAGACCGTTACCCATCAAATTCCTAGAGGCAGCAAGTAGAATGGTGGTTGCTAGGGGCTGGGGGAGTTGCCAGGGGCTGTGGGGAGGAGGATATGGATAAGTTAGTGGGTCATGCATACAAAATGGCACTATGGGAAGGTGAAAGTAAAGTTCTAGAGATGGATGACTGCACAATAGTGTGAATGTACTTAATGCTACTAAGCTGTGACACTGAAAAATGGTTAAAGCGATCAATTTTGTTAAGCTGATTTTACCACAATAAGAGAGAGAACATTACCAGAGCCACACTCTCTTCTGCTTCCTTCCAGCCACTACTCACCCCTACCCCACCTGGGTTAACTGACTAAATGGTAACTGTCTATGTTGCAGGACCATCTAGTTTTATACACAGCCAGAGGGGAAAAGGAAAAAAGCACAAAGATTGTTTGCCTAATGTCACACAGAGTTTATTTTCCCATGATTATTTCCCAGGTCAAAGTGGATTGAATGGGAAACATGTCTGTGTCCTGAATCTGTGTTAGATGAACATTTGCATTTTATCAAATAATAGCCACTAGCAGATGTACAGTTTATGAAATTCTTAAGCATGCCCAGCTGGGAGGGCATGACAGGGCATCATCTGAGTGTGGGCTGAGGGGCAGGATTACACAAGATGCTGGGTCTGAACCACCTCCTCTCGGAGCCCCAGCCATACTAATATTTACACTTACCTTGAAGCTTAATGGCATATGTTTATTCACTTTTTTCTGTGTGTTGCTTCTTAAACTACATACTTCCTAATGTAATATTTGCCAAAAAGACCGTATGCGGTGTATATGTAAGTTATGAGTCAGAGTAAAGCAAATACGCAACGAACCTAACCTGCCATCTAACTGTGAAACATTTTAAATCACTGAAAACTGTTTTATCTGCCTCTGCAGTTGAACTCACTAAAAATATTATTAAACACACACTGTGTCAGCGTGTAAGCTTCTGTGTTAAGTGTTGTAACCCTAAAACTGTCCTGGTACTTGTTCTTTCTTGCTTCTCTTGGTATGAGCTGCAGGGGACTTGGCCCCAGAGTCAGGGCTGAGTTCAGATAGAGGGTTAAGACTCTTACCACATATGGCACCGAGGGCCTGGGCTTGTAGCAGAGTTTCCGCCTCCTTCTCTCCTGTGCTGCCTCAGTCTTCTTCCTCCCTCCCCAGCCCACCTAAGCCCAGGCACATGCGCACATCAGAAGTAAGCCCTTCTTCCGCCTTTGCCACATTTAATCAGGCAAAGGAACTGTGCTTCTCCACCTTTGGGAAGATTGAGGTGGTGATTTTGTTCTTGGTGATGGTTTGTTTCTGCTGCAAACTTTGTAAGTCTTTGTTCGTCAGTCTTTGTAAGCAAACAGTTTGCCTTTCGCTTGCCCGAGTGTGGCGTCTGCTTCTTAAGCTTATTTCTCACATTTGAAATTTGTAAAAAAAATTTTAACGCTGGTCTGGGAATCAGTTATATTCATTAAGAACCTATTATGTGGAAAAGTATTGGTCTTTAAAGCCTCCGTGAAAATTTTTCTCTCTTATTTAGAATGGCACCAAACCCCCGCTGGATGCAGATGTGAATCTGGAAGCAATCGCTGGTGACCTTCGCTGTGACTGCTATTCGTAAGTATCAGCCTCAAGTGAGTTAATTGTCATGTGGAAATGAGGGAGAATGAGGAGGTGGGGAGGGTTATATGAGGCCCCCCGTGTGGGGTCTGGCCTTTGCTTGCTCCCTCCTTAGAGAAGCCATTTTGCCCATTTTGAGACTCTGAGGAATTCTGGGAGTGGGGGTTCCTCTCCTTTGTTGAGTCTTGGTACTCTACTACCCTGACCACCACTGCTGCCCTTCACAAACTGTCTGTCTGTCCTTCCAGAATATTTGAACAGACATATCATTACAGGCTGCTAAATTGTCCAGATGCTTCAGCATTTAAAAGAGAGTAATCGATGAGTGCCACATTTTCCAAGCCTCAGAATTCCTTTTTCACAGCACAGCTGTTAACATCCACAGAGCCTGCAGGAAATCAGACACCGCTGCCTTCAGCTCTCATGTTTGTGGTGGCTTCGTTTTTCTTGTTTTCTTCATATGTTTTTAAGGAAATTTGTTAACTTTCCCAATGTTGGTATACAGGAAGAAAATGAAACTCAGGGTTTTTATCAGTGGGGGACATGTGCTCCTCTGGCTTATTTGCAAAGCCCAGTTGATTGTCCGCAACATGCTTGGTGTTTGTGATATTCCTGTAGGGCAGGGCCAGATACTGGGCTTTCTGAAGCTGCGTCAAGGCAAGCGGTGTTCCCATCTCTGAGGTCTTCAGGAATCTGTTCAGAAATGTCAGTTTCTGTCCCCTGGTAGTAACATAGACACTCAGCGACTCCCAGTTCTGGCTGAAGAATTTCACATAACCATCTCTGTCAACATGATTTCACTTGAAACCATGCCGATCATTTATAGGGAGTGTGGTCAGGATGTGAATTAGGGCTGAGTCTCAGCCTTAGTTCTGCCACTCCAGCCAACGCACTTGAGAGATACGCCACACGTCGGTCAGGAATCGCGGCTCCTTTAAGAAAGCAGCGATTGTCTCGGTGAAGGGGAGGTGATCAGGGTTCCAGGCAGGGGTCGAGGGGCAGATGATGTGAAAGGTCCTTCTTCCCTTTAAGGAGAATGTTTCTCTCCCCCTAGTTGAGAGTCAAACCCGTACCAGTCTGCAATTAAATGAACTTACTACTAAGGGGTAAAAAAATAGACTTAAGTGAACAGTTTACAGCTGAGTGCTAAAACTTGAAGTTTTTCAGTGAGTAACAGGCAGTTTTGATGGTAAAACTTACCCTGGACCAGATCTTTGGGATTATACTATTTAGGGTGTCAGTGTATAAAGAGTTAGGGTTAAAGCTGAACAGTATACACTTTGGGTTTCAGGGCCACGGTCTTCACCGTTGGAGAGCCACTATAATACTAGAGCCTTCAGCCGCCTGTTTATATTAATTAATGGTGTCTCAGCACCCGGGTTAGATTGAACGTTAAAGAAAGAAATGACCACAGCATGTATGTGCTTATTAAATAATGTTATAACCCTTTATAACACTTCAGTAACAAAAGCATTGGATTCAGTTAATAATTTAAGCTCTGTGGATATTTAATTCTATATATTATGTGGATTGTCAACATTATACATTAAATAAGGTTAATGTCTAGGAATGAGGTTTTTGTCCCCGCATTCAAACTTTTTCTCAAAGAATCACCAAGAATTCTGTTAGAGATGTAATAGAGTGAAACACCAGTCAGCACCAGTGTCTTTCATTAACTGAAGACTCCATTAATGAAGTTTTGACTCAGCATATTACTACACTGAATGATTAAATGAAGGCTTGTTAGTTCTTGTCATAGTTTAAGTACCTTGTGATGTGTTCACTCAGCTCGAGCCTTAACCAAGGGCACCAAAGATTTTCTCGCCTTTGTACTTTCTATCCTTTTCAACATAAATGACCTTTTATGTAAGCTTATTTTAGACATTAGGTAATGTATGAATGGGCCAGTCAGCACTTTAACGTAGGCCATACGAACAAAAAAAAAATTATAATAAATAGCAACATGTAAGTTTCTTTTACTGGCTGGACGTTCTGAACTTTTTATGTTAACACTAGTATCTATAGCTATTAGCATGGGACTATGTATGATTCATAGTTTCCTCCATGATTTCCTTTCTTCTGATAGTTGGAAACATTTTAAATAAAAACTGAAAAGTTCTTTCCTACTGACCATAATCAGTTTATCCCACCTTTATATTAGTCAGTTTCTATCCTGATTGTTTAATATGTGACTTGAAAGAAAATTGCTCTCAGACTTCTCTCTGGTCTTTTACAGGCTCTAAGCTTAAACAAGTACGAACACCTCTTTTCTTACAGGGGAGCAGACCTTTCTGCTTTGGTGCGGGAAGCCTCTCTCTGTGCCCTGAGACAAGAAATGGCAAGGCAGAAGAGTGGGAATGAAAAAGGTACAGTTCTCAGCAGAATCTCTCAGTTCTGATCAGTTATCACTCTGGACACCTAAAACCTCTGTTGACCTGGAAAATGACCGTTTTCTAGCATGTTAACTGGGATATTACAATAAAACTGACGTTTTCTGATGAGACCTTTAGTAGCTGTTCTAAATATGACTTAATCTCTGTGACTGACAACTATAATAATAGCAAAGTTATTTGGTGCCTCTTTAACAAAAAGTATCATATCTTTCCCTATCATATACAAATGCTTAGATATAGGCAAATGGGTCCGTTTACTGACTTCATCATGAGTTTGGTCTATTCTGGAAAACCTTCTCAATCTTTTGCTAAAGTAATAGCTACTTCCCTGTTAAAATGCAGTTTAAGTTGGAGAATTTAACACACACACGTGAAAACTGAAAAAACTTTCTATGTACTCAGACTTTCCTTTAATATAACAAAATCGATGTACATTATTATGTGATGATTTGTGGCCATCTCAACAGCTTTGCACCATTCTTCACGTTTAACAGTGTCTTCGGTTGTACGATCTGGGTGTACTTGGCCAAAAAAGATTTGTCACCTGCATTCCAACCATGGCATGTACAGATACAGCCTTTACTCTGCTTAGTTCCTATGGCAGTAGTTTCGTCAGGTGCTGTTTGTGGCTGTTGTCTGTACAGTACTGTAGGATACCTTCTCAAAACACCTACCTTGTCCTCTAAATCTGTACTTTCATCTAGTTCAAGTCTGTATTGATCTCCTTTTATTCAGTAGATTTCCAAAAGATGTCTTTTTTTATTTGTATTGTTTTTCTTTTCCTTTTTTTTTTTTTTGGATACCAAGAATCTTAGAGCTAAGTTTTGTTTGGTTACAGCAGCTAACGCTTATCTTAATTATGAAGTCCCCAAGCTTATTGTTGTTTGAGTTTTAAGATTCAGTCATCTGCACTTCTTTTATTGTGAGCTATTTGAAATTCCTTTTGGAAGTAGGTGGAATGCAATTAGCAAAATTAGAATATCTTGTAAGAGCATCTTGTGTGGTAGGATGCTATCTGAGAACCAGATCTGCTGACTGTCTTGGGATTTGTTTTGTTATTAAAATGAATGTGCTTCCTTGCATGTATTACTTGCTAATAATTCTGTTAGGATGTTATAACACCTAGTACAAGCTCTGACAGCCCTGTTGTGCTGCAGTTGACGTTTCCAGCTGTCTGTCCTTCAGGACTTGGCATCAGTATCTTACTGAAACTGAAATGCCATTCAACGCCCATTTGATGCGTTCAACAACACATTTTATTTTATTTTTAGGTAAATATTCTATCCTAATAGCTGTAGAACGTTTACTATTTTAAGTATAAATTGTCATTTTGTAAGTTACCATGTTAACATCTAAACCAAGCCTTATTTAACATTTAGTTACTTGATTTCTCTTACTTACATAATGGCATAACCTTATAATCAGAACCCCCTTCTAGTCCAGTGTTGTGATGTTATCTATATTTATATTATGTTATTATAACTCCATAACATCTAATTATGTGTATGCATACTTAAAGACTATGGAATTCTACTTTCCATTCCCAGTTAAACATATCTGAATTGTCTTGAAAGAGAACATTCTGGTTTTTCTTCATAAACATCACCATTAAGTTAAGGTACACAGTGCCCAGAGGGCCTACAGAGGGTTAGCTGATTATGAGTGATAGGTCTCTTTTGGTGGCACTGCATTAAAACCTGATGAACAGAGGGTGGGGGAAATGGGGAGACATTGGTCAAGGGTATAAACGTCCTGCTATAAAATGAGTAAGTTCCAGGAGTTTAATGTACTATGTGGTGACTATAATTAACAATACTGTATATATATTTGAAAGTTGTTAAGAGAGTAGATCTTAAAAGTTATCACCACACACAAAAAAGGTAATTATGTGAGGGGGCTGAGGTGTTAACTAACCTTATTGTGGTAATCATTTCACAATATATGCGTGTATCATACTATCATGGTACACACCTTAAACTTTCATGTCCTATGTCAACAATTCTCAGTAAAGCTGGGGGAAAATAAATAAATAGAACATATGGACTTTTTTATTTTTTTAAGGGGATAAGAATCTCTCATTAAAGATGAACAAAGTACTTTTTTATATAATTTGTCCCAAAATAAACTGTTTTGATTGCTGCTGGGGGTTGGGGGGGGGAGGAGATTGCACCAAAATGTATGATATTATAAAACTTAAGCATTTATTTAAAATTAAATATGGTCAGAAATATGTAAATAAATTAAAAGGGAAAAGGTCTAAAACAATCTGATGAGTAGACTATATCTGCTTTGAATATTGTTCTGAAAAAAGAATAGAGCCAGTGTCATCATTAATTTCCTCTGTGTTCCCTATGAATGCTTGGAAGTCTCTTACGAGAAGCTAAGTTATAAATCACAGTTAACGTACTATACCCAGGTGTGTATATTTTTGCATTTGCTCCACAGGTGAACTCAAGATTGGTCAGAAGCATTTTGAAGAAGCTTTCAAGAAAGTAAAATCATCTATATCAAAAAAGGTAAGCAATGCTCTTAACTGTATAGAGAAAAGAGACTAGAATTGAGACCAACAGATGTGAACTGAAAACAAGCAAAATGACTGCCTTTGTGAGGATTTTGCATGTTTCTTACAGACTCAAGCACAGACAGAGAATGGCCTCTTGCGTCTGTTTCCACAGTCTCAGGATTTATTATTATTATTATTTTTAAGATTTTTATTGGGGAATTGGGGGAAGGGGAACAGACAAGTTGCTATCGTTTTGTTCTTCAGTCTAGTTGTGGAGGA